AACCATTGGTTCCTTTAAAATATTTTTTTAAAAAGAAGACGGTCAAAATGTTACATTTTCATGCCTAAATTAGAGGATGACCTTTGGTTCCAACAAGAGGGCGCTACATGCCCAAAAAAAAAATTAATTTATTTTACCTATTATATCATAATAAAATTTAATAAAGAGAGTAATGAGAAAAAGAAAGAGAGATCTACTCTCGACTCTTTGTTGTTAAGCCGAATGAGAGAGTAGGGATACATGTAGAGCTGCACTAAAAAGTATCATACCCCAGCCGTTATTTTTGTAGTAAAGCACATACATAAATCTTACGCCAAACCTTTTTCTCGAAAACTCCCAAAGTCGACTCATCAGATGCCGTCATTGTCCATGTTTCCACACCATATAGCAAGAAGGGAACGATAAGCCAGTCGTATAGCTCGGTCTATGTTCGTCGAGAGAGGACTTTACTTTCCAATACTAGACTCATTGCAATGTAGCATCTGTTGGTTAATCTGCGTTGGATTTCCAGTCTTTGCTTCATCATACTATTTAAAAAATACCTAATCTTGTGTTGTTGTTGTAACCGCAATAATATTCACCAAAGTACTTTTGGGGAACTTTGCTGGAGTGACAGTCCTTGGCCGGATGTTAATCGGGGTCGTTCCGGTATAAAGACCCGACTGTCAACTATTGGATATTAGTCGCCTCTTACAACAGGCATGCTTTACCGCGGGTAAATTCTTGAAACCCTAACCCGCAGGGGGGTTCAATTATTCTTCTCAAAGTGATGTATAAAATATATCTCCCTTCCCAAACCCCGTATTTGAACCCGAGCCTTCTGAATGGCAGTACGCAATGCTAACCGCTCGGCTGCCGCGGCCGCCGAATATAATCAGCATAATCAAGTAATTTCAATATACACATTCCCAAATACGTTTGATAGCGAAATTAATAATTCACTTGAAAGGCTTAAAGAACCAAGAGCAGAGAATCATCGAAAAGACAATCGAATAAATGTAATTGAATTTCGTCATGCTGCGTTCGAAGCCAAAGTAATAAACATCAAATAAATACTAAAATAAAGCTCTGGTGCTTATTGATTGCGGGAAGCAATGACATTTCCAGTTAGTTGGGGAGCAAGCGGAACATGATGATGGTGATAGTGAAACATGTCAGAAGTGGCAGTAGAAGGGCAAAGAAAATAAGGTTCTCAGCAAGGACAAAAATTGGAGGTTGTACACATACTATAAATACAATGGTATCTACATACATAAATAACAATAAAACTGCAGTTATTTTCTCAAATACTAATACATACACGTAAGCCATACGCTTTGCTTCGTACAGCGTTCGCTGCGATAGTCTGACGGAAATCAATGCCAAAATCACCGAGATGTCTGAAATTAGAATTTCTAAGGGACGTTTGAGTTAATATAACATAAAACAGCAAATATATGCTCATCATATATACCTAAGAAGGCAAGAAGATGTATGTATCAGATTTTCAGGCACGTTTAAGTAAGCAAATAAGTGTTTAAGACATTAAAAGGCAAAAGGATAAAAGTATAAAAAGCAGTTGGATATACGAAGCAGAATAGAAGTTAAGAGATTTTGAAATAAGACTTAGTTTGCTTAGTCATATAAAAAAGACTTAAAGTAATGATAAGCTTATTTAGTTTAAGAATCCTTCAGCTCCTGCGGAAGTAAGGAATTCCTGCTCAGCTTGAATGTGCCAGTAAGTATCTATAAGATAGCTTTTTAAATCCCAACTAAATTCCATAATAGTCTCTCACAGTTGTCCAAAGGATCCCATAACTATAAATCTATTATCTTTTGCATTTAATAAATCATTGAAAAGCATCTTATTAAAACGTAAGTCGGCGGAAACTGCACAATATACGTGTATATCGGTCTCTTTCATTGAGTAACTTCAACATTTTTTACAAATAGAGAAATCTTTTAACAACGTGATACCAGTTAGCGTAAAATATGCACTGAAAGGCTTAAGTGGGATTAGCTCGTTGTTCGATATGCCAATAAAGTCACATAACTCCACGCTGGTCTCTCACGCATTCACTGGTTGAACTTGCTTCTTACAGAAACCGATGATATAGCAGTACAAGGAATATCTCGTAAGGTGTTGAGTCAAGCAATCTGTAAATTGTTCGCAGAAGTATGGAAATCTTTACCGTTCTCCTTGCTTGCAAAAGGGCTTTCGACCAATAATGAGGTTTAAGTTTCAGAATTGTCATGTCCTTGGTAAGGCCGTAAAGACATGAAAAAAACTATTGCAGATGATATAAAGAGAATTGAAGTACGCACCGGTTAAAGAGTGGTACGATGTGCTTTTGTACGTACACCCTAATTGGGAGTCTCTTCCGAGCTTCTAAATAATAGCTATGTGGGCAGGTTGAATTTCCCTCAGTAAGACACCTCTTCATGATCAGTGACAGTTAAGCAGCAATAAAATCATGTTAGACAGGATAAGGCTGACTAGAATATACTCGCCTTCAAAGAGAGAGATATACAAGTTGAGTGCAACTGCATGAAAGACGAATTCGGTAGGAAATTTACGGTCAAACAAATTCTTAAAAGAAAGTACAAACTGAAATGATTAATTGATAAAAACATGCATTATAATTATTAAGAAATAAAATCTCATATCCGTAATTTCTCTATCAAATTTCTTATTACTTTCGCACTTTTCGCGAGCATTGAAACTTGATTAATGTACGAGTATATTTCTAATGAATATTATTTCACATATATAAATAGCAACTAAGTAATTATTTCTTTCTTCTCATAGGTACGTATGGAATATAATTTTGGACTTTATCGAAAGCAATGCGCTAGTAAGTTATCTGATGTAAACAATAAAAGTGGTTATTCGAAAGCCATGTGGTTTAAAGACTATCAAAAATTAAATAAAATAAAATCAAATAAAAATAAAAAATTAAAAAAGAAAAGTAAATTAATATAAAATAAAATAATAAATATAATAATAAAATAAATGTATTTAGTAATATTAATAAATTTGTTTTGTTTATAAAAAATTCAAAACTTTTGTGGAATTGTGAACTTAACATATTTAAGAGTAACATCATATCAAATGATATAATTGTTAAAAAACCTTAAATTCCCTGCTGAATTATAAAATATTTATATATGTGAATTGTAATGATGACGTCTTCTCTACTTAAATCCATTATAAATATTTATACTTACATGTGTATGTATTTACATGTATTTTTAAAATTTTCACATGCTGAAAATACATCTTATTTACCAGTCAAAGCTATAGTATAGAGAACACAGAGCTTATTGTAATCCATCAAGTACTTCCACGCGTAATTAACTGCATCGTAATTAAGTTTAGTGGGAGGAATAACAGATACGTACACGTACATATACATATGACATGTAAAATTATCCGTCAGGGGGAAGATAGACTAAAATAAAATAAAATAAAATAAAATAAAATAAAATAAAATAAAATAAAATAAAATNTCAGACGTTTCACAAGGACGCATTACAAATAAGTTCTACAAGTCCCGTAGAACAGGCTCCTATCGGCAGCATGACATACATTCATGTCTGCATTTTCAAAATATTAGCAAACAAAAAATTAAGCAAAAGCACATTCCGCTGCATTACACTTCCAACTTTTTCTTGCCAGGTAATGGATAACCAAATCGGACCAAGGCTTCCAATCCAAAGAGAGCCTGCCAAAGCCCAAAAGGTGAACGAAACAGCAGCAGAAGTAGCGCAAAGAACCACCGATGGAACCAATACTGCACACGGCCCCCAAACACCTTCATAATATTTTGGACACACCCTAATGCGCCTTTGGCCTATATAAGCCGTGCTTGCCAAACAAAACAGCGAGATTTCATATCAATACTACGGCAAGCGCGCACGGGGCGACAACAGTTAAAACTAAATTAAATTTATATATTTATATATGATATCAATATATTCATTTATGTTCACCTAACATTAAACTTTTATAAATTATCGTTAATTTAATTAAAATAAACATACATATGTACACATATATAAAAACGAATACGCGAGTGGCTTCTTTATTTCAAAGGAACTCGAAGAAGGTACCTCGCGTGAACAATAGTATTAAATTTAATTGTATATCATTTCATTTTATTTTCTTTTATTTCATTTTATTTCATTTCATTTCCTTTAATTAAATTTTTTTCACTACATTTCATTACATTTCGATTCATTTCATTTTATTTTATTCGTTTTAATTTTACTTTAAATTATTTCATTTTATATTTTTAGTTTTAATGATGATATTGAATTTAATTTTTTTATTTGATTTTAGTAGTGGGAGTGGCTATTCGCACACTAAGTGCACAATATGTGTACTCTTTGTGTACGTGATGTGTACAAAGTGTACGAGAAGTGTTCAAAGAGTACGAGAAGTGCGGGAGAAGTACACAATAAGTGTAAGAGAAATGCGTAGGGTGGCCTCTTTGGTAAAATAAAAAGAGAAATTTAGAGCGGTGATTTTTTGCGGCTGCCGCAAACACCAGAATCGCTCTCTTTCGGTTTGTCCCTTCCCTTGGCTAACGAAAAGAGAAAGATATAGGGATAATTTGAACATATGAAATTTCCACTTAAAGTGGCCGTAATTTATTGAAAATAAAAGAGATTTCATATTTTATTGTGCTCCAGTTGAGCTTTTTTCGATCCTTGAGGGCGACCTCGTCCTCGTTTTTGACATGGTGTTTTAACAGTTTGTATTTCTGAAAAAATATAAGTAAAATTAATAGATGTTTTCATGAATATTTATGTATGTTTGTAATTTTACCGGAAAAATCTTCTATTATACTGATTGAATTTTCTTCTTTCTATCGGTTGCTCAAAGTGAACTGAGAAAATGCCAGCTTCTAAGCTCACATTTACTTTTTGCAAAAAAGTTACATCCAAATCATTTGTTAAGTGTTCGTGGAGTTTTGTGACTATATTCTCTATTCTTTCTAACTCATCATCGTTTTTTTGTCGTGCAAAGGTTTCAATTTTTTGCAAGGCTTTTCGCAGAGCAAGCAATTTGGCTGTACAGAAGTAATTATTTATATATTTTAAAGATTGTATTTACACGTATGATTCACTAAGCTTACAGTCAGTCATATTGTTAGAATTATGTTGATTTTCTTCCATATTTGAGAACTCGTCTTCAGATAAATCGTTTGGTTCATGATTGTGTTTACCCGTAATTTCGTGACATGCAAAACCTCAATTTGTTTCTCTTTATCGAGTTTTCTTTCCAGTTTAATTTTTACAGGGCAACCAATTTTTTTCGACCTAAAATATTTATGAATGACATTTTCATCTCTATGAACATATGCTGCAAAAAAAACTTATGATATATTTATTAGTAATTATATCTGTATTTACTCTCGTTGGCGAGTTATTTTCTTTTTGATGTCCCAGGTTCCAATTTCGCGACATCTTTTTGAACCATTTCTGGCACATGTGTATAAAATATAATTACACATTAATTTACTGTTCTTTATATTAAGTTGTTCTACTTTAATTTTGGAGCTGTCTCTAGTGGATAGTTTGCAATTGTGATGCATTTCAAACAACTCTGCAGCCTTTCTCACTTTTTCGAACGATTGAAATGAGGCATTCATTCTGAAGCTTTTTGTATACTGAAAAAACGTACGATAATATACTGACATATTAAAAAATATATAGAAGAACATTAATGGAAGTTAAATAAGTAGTTTTTAATTTGCAAAACTTATAGTACTGAACGAAATAGCTACTGGCACTGATTGTATGTTACCACTTATTTAAATATTAAATACACTCCGTTTTTCATGTTTCCAGTCGACATTTTTCGCTGGCCACGCAAAGATATGCTGCGAAAGTTAATAAATTAAAACTTTATACTACTTTATTTTACGCCACGATAAGTAAAATGATCTGAAATTATTGTGAGAACAATTTGGCAGTTACTGAAGCCAGAAATTTTAGATTTTGAATTTTACTGTTGTCTCGTTCTTATATTCACATAGGCTGACAAACTACCAACTTCAACTTATCTGAATTCGCCTTGGTTATAGCCTATTTCCACCAAGCACTTAAATGCATTTAAGGCCTCTGTTAAGTGAATGAAATGTCAAACGTTTCCACCGAAAGTGAGTTAACTCAAACAGCTGATTTTTGTTTACATTTGAAACTTGAAAAATTTGTCATAAGTATTGAAATCATGAATTCAAGAGACCGTATTCATTTTATTTTGCTATTTATACAATATTATGATTTGCAAGTGCAGATTACTGCTGCACGAGCAGACGCTGCTGAGACAAAAGTGCTTTTTTGTATGCTTACAACTTTTTTGGAGATTGCACGCAATTTTCTTTAAGTTATAAAAGAATATAGGGCAAAAAGAAAAAGTCCTTTTATTTGGAGAAAGGTATGTACATAATATTATTAACTAATCATAATTGTAATTATTTTAATGGTGTCCCTTAGGAACGAACGAGCTTATTTTGGGAAAAGGAGTGCCAAGAATGTAGCGATTTAATTTCAAGAACATCTTCCGCTTGGAAAGGCGGTCCTTCTTCGAATTGTGTGATATTTTGAAAGGTATCGGAAAAGAAGATACCAATTGCCGCAAGGCTATTACCCTTGAAAAGCGAATCGCTATTGCGCTATATGCACTTGGTTCCTCTGCAGAGTACCGAACAGTTGCAAGTTTGTTCGGTGTGTCCAATTCTAGCATATGCAGAATTGTTAGAGAATTTTGTGCTGCGGTTTGGAATGCTTTGAAACCTAATTATCTGAATTATTTTCCATTAACTGAGACGGTGGCTCAGACTATTGTAAATGATTTTAACAATATGGGATTTCCACAATGCATTGGAGCGTTAGGTATGATGAGATGCAAATAATATTGAGATTTATATTAATATATATGTGTATATGTACATAAATAAAATTAGATGGATGTCATATTGAAGTCAAACCAAAAAAAGAGGACGCTGTGGACTACTACAACTATAAAGGATGGTATTCTGTGGTGCTGTTGGCTTTAGTTGACTCAAGGTTGGCAAATCTTTAACTTACTTAAGTAATAAAATAGATTTCAATTTGTATGTAGGTATAGGTTTCTATATATAAATGTTGGCAGTCCAGGAAGATGCAACGACTCTGGAATTTATGAAAGTTCCTCACTAAAAGCAGAACTATTGCGTTGCAAGTTGCTTTATGATCAACGGAAATCTTTTAACAATGTGGAAATCCCATTAGTAATTATAACAGACTCAGCTTTTCGTTTGTCGCGCAACGTTCTTAAGCCGTTTCCATTTAATGTGGAAAGTACAGCTGCACAACGCGAATTCAACTACNTTTTATTTATTTTGCGCAATCAGCTGATAGCTGCCAAAGCCACGTATATTTTTATGTTGAGGGGATCGTTTGAAATTCCACAATTGCTTTATGTTTGTTTTTTATTATATTTTTTGAAAGAGGAGGAAGCATTCTCTTCGCCATTTACTTGGTACATGCATTTGAGTTAAAACTAATGCAAAGAAATAATTTTTACACAAAAAATTGCACTATGAAAAATAAAAATCTCGCCCCTCATTAAATCCGAAAATACACGACTCTGGCAAGAAATACACCGAAACTTCTGAAATGATTACATTAGTAGTGACAGCATCGAATGTTAACATAACATTTTCTGTTAAATTGCCGAAAGTGAGTTAACTCACTTTGAAAAGTGAGTTAACACACTTTTATACAACAACAAACACATGGGAATTACCGCATTTAAATGCGATGTTTAAATGCATTTAAGCTAAAATGCATTTAACGTCCGGTGGAAATAGGCTATTAGTTTTAATGGTTACCCAATTTTTAAATTTTATTTGCTTATTAAAAACATAAAAAACAATTTACATATTTACATTTTTGATATAAATAGCTATAATTCTTTTCTCAAATATTAAACGTGGAAATTGGTGATTTGAATTCATTTTACATATGTATGTCTATACACAACGAAAGTAATTGTATTGTACTTGTTCATTTGTAAACACTTAATACAATAAAACTTTAATTTTGTGAATGTGATATATGATGTAATAATAACCTGGTAAAGTAAGTAAACAATTATCCCTTTCTCGTACTTGTCCTTAGCAAATGGTGTTGTTTTTATTCACATAAGTTCCTATGTTTTCATTTAAATCTTTGTAAAAAGGGTAAACTTATAAATTTTCTTGAACGAGGATAATATGTAAGCATCACTTGAGATTCTTCAATGTTTGTTGACTTGTCATTCTGTTAAAAATTAAATTCTATTCGGCATTTTAGTTTGCTTGGTTATCTCGTGATTGCATATTTCCGATCAAAAACAAAATTGTCATCAAACTATGGCTTTTTTAGTACTTGGCGAGAAATTTACAGATCTTGACGATCTGAATGACAGGGTAACAGAGCATGAAACAGAAGCCCAACAAATATATATCGTACGCAATTATTGTACTATTGAAAAACAGTATCCAAACGACACTAGAGTAAATAGAAAATTAGTGTATTCGGTTTTACAATTACGCTGCAAACATGGACCAAAATCACGTGAATCGCAAGCTACAGGGCTTCGAAAAAGCCGGTGAGTTTCCAATTAGATATTTTACACTATTCGTTATGTAAGCTTAACGCTACATTTGTTGCAGAAGTTTGAAGCTGAACTGTCCAGCATTTATAAATTTCACTTTGTCGAAAGATAGACAATCGTTGGCTATAAGTAGTCTGAATCTTGATCATAATCACGAGGTACTGTTAATCTTGAAAAGTTCACTTAGTAATTTTGAATCGTTTATGATTATTTTTCAGAATTTCTACGATACTCTGCCTGAGGTTCGTAGATTATCTGAGAAAGAAAGTCGAAAGGTAGCACGACTTGTAAATGACCTCGGGTCAAGCAAAAGAAAAATCATGATCGAAATCTATGAAAACTCAAAAAAACGAGTCACAAGAAAAGATATCGATAACATTTGCGCTATATAGGGACTCCGCTAAATACACTTTGGAAGAGTGTTTAAAATTCTTAAAAAGCGAAGGTATTTTAAATAAAATACATATATACACATTAGGCGCTGTCTAATTGATTTTCCCATTTTCCTACCATACATTTAATAATTTTTACACAGTTGCTAATACATCAATTCATTGCTTTGATAGAGAATTAAAGGCAATATATTTTTCAACAGCAGAGATGAGGGCTGCAGTTCAAGCGTATCCCGAAATCATATTTATAGACGGGACCTATAAGTTAATGTCGAATGGGTTTGTTTTAATTCTGCTGTTAGTAGAAGATTCCAACGGGGGAACACAAATAGGGGCTTGTGCAGTGGTAGGCGAAGAAACTGCAGATATTTATACATGGACTTTAAAATGTTTTAAATCCGAAAACAAGTCTTTAAGCGTCAGAGTGAAATGTTTCATGGGCGATAAGCTTCAGGCACAAAGGAAGGCTATCAAAGAGCTTTTTCCTGGAAAGCCAGTCTACATTTGTTATTATCACACAATGGAAATATTCAAAAGAGAAGTAAGTTTTAAAAACATGAACATTAATGCTACTGACAGAAAATTGGCGTTTGATATGTTAAAGAAATTGGCTTGTAGTGCGACTGAAGCTTCATATATGCAAACGTACGCAGAATTTAAAGCGAAATGCCCTTTGGTAGTTACCAGATACTATGATGACAACTGGCATAAGCTTACGGATGAATGGTGTGTTTTCAAAATGAATGACGGAAATTTTGGGAATATTACAAACAACCGCACAGAAAGTATGAATCGTGCCATTAAGCAAATTGTACAAAAGAATTCGCCATTGGGGCAATTTTTTCAAAATTTTTTTATTTTTTTTAAATTTAAGCAAATAAATCATGTTCAAATTATGGCTGAAAATTTTGTGAAAAGAACGAATGCAAATTTGGCTGAGGATGAAGAAAGCTATAGAAGTTTACTGACAGCCGCCGGTTTTAAACTAGTGCAATCTGAATTAAGAAGTAGCTCAAAAGTTGTAATACAACAAAAAGATTGTAGTAAACGTATGTGTATAGTAAAATATTTCTCTACATTCATCGAAACATCTATAGAATCATGCGAGTGTTCGGGGGTAAAATCCAACATGCTCCCATGTAGACATATTTTCTCAACCAGGAATGCATTTGGATTACCTTTTCATTCAAAAGAATTTAGCGCGGACAGTCCTCAAAAAGGCTTAAAAGTTTTAAGTTTAAACAAAATAAAAACTCCACAAGCAATTGTTATTAGGGGACACCCAAAACATGGTCTGAGGACGAGTATTAGCTCTAGAAAGTGATAAACAATACGTTCTTTCTTTTTTACTTACCTTAATATTACTTTATTCAGCTCTTGTATTTTGTAAAACCATGGAAAACATGAATAAATTACGGCCACTTTGATATTTCGAATGCTTAGTTCTAATTTTATTTGAATAAAAAGAAAAAGGGGAAAAGAGTATGGCAGCCTTAGAATTTATTAATCTCAATAAATGTGTGGTAACGACATTGAACATTAGCACAGACAATATAGATTCTCTTTATGTTAAAAGAAGAAAACGATATTTCATTGTTGACAATATGTCCAAATAATACATCGTATGTGTTCTCGCTCGCAATATAACATCGTAAATAAAAAATGATATAACATAACTAGCTGCATTTGGTTTTTTAACTTTATGACAATAGGAGTTCAAAATCATCCATATATCTCTCTCTTTTCGTAAACCAAGAGAGCGATTCTGGTGTTTGCGGCAGCCGCAAAATCTCATCGCTCAAATTTTCTCTTTTTATTTAAACAAAGAGGCCACCCTACGCATTTCTCTTACACTTATTGTGTACTTCTCCCGCACTTCTCGTACTCTTTGAACACTTCTCGTACACTCTGTACACATCATGTACACTTAGAGTACACATATTGTGCACTTAGTGTGCGAAAAGCCACTTCCTTTAGTAGTTCTTATTTGACTTAATTTAATTAAATTTAATTTAATTTTTTTATATTATTTTATTTTATTTTGTTTCATTTTATTTTATTGGATTCTAGTAGTTTTTATATGATTTTATTTTGTTTTATTTTGTGTTTTTGCGAGGAGCGTAAATTCTTGCAAGACTCTTGGCGCTGGGTAAATACTTCCTGTTATTTGGATTTTTGCTTTCTAGAGAATGCAATTCTCAAATGATCAGCAAAGTGATACGGCTAAGGTAATCAATGTTTGCAATTGAATTGACCTTCGTAAAGTCTAGATCAGATATCTAATTATGTGATCTGTTTTCGTCTTCTCATCCATGCTCCTTTAGTCAGCGATTGGCGTCTCGCAGCGTGCCTCCTATGGCATTGCGCCACAAATTTTTGAAACGAGCCTAGTGATCAACTTGAATATTATATATTTCACATTCTCCCCCACCCGCTTCGGCATTTTATTTAAATTTATATTATTATATTTTTTTTCGTTTGATTTTATTTTACTTGATTTTATTTTATTTTATTTTATTCTTTGTTTTAATTTTACTTGATTTTATTTGATTTGATTTAACGTTATTTGGTTTTATTTTATTTTATTTCATTTCAGTTTATTTTATTTTATTTTACTTTACTTTAGTTTATTCTGTTGTATTTGATTTTATTTTAAGTTAGATTTATTTTATTTTATTATATTTCATTTCATTTCAATATATTTTATTCTCTTTATTTTTATTTTATTTTATTTCATTTTATATTGCCTTGTTTTATTTTATTTTATATTTTTTGGTTTTATTTGATTTTAGTAGAATTTATCTTATTTGATGTTACTTGATTTTATTTTTATTGATTTTATACTATGTTATTTTGTTTAAATACATTTAGTTTTATTTAATTTTATATTTTATATTTATTATTTTAGCTTATTTTGTTTTTAGTTATTATATTTCATTTTATTTCATTTCTGTTTTACTTCGGGTTCCAAGAAAAACACGCTTGCTTCCATGCAATTCAGTGTATGTGTTTTTGTTATTTTGTTTTGTTTTATTTAATTTAATTTCCTTAACTTTTTTTTCGTTTTATTTAATTAAACTTTATTTTACTTTATTTTGTTTTGCTTCATTTTGTTATATTTGATGTTTTTATTTGATTCAGTTTGATTTGATTTTATTTGATCTAGGTAGTTTTTAATTGATTTGTTTTGTTTATGTTTTACTTATTTAATTTTTAGCTATTTTTTTACTACATTTTATTTTGTTTTATTTATTTTTATTTTTATTTAGTTTTATTTAATTTAATTTGACTTTTTTTATCTGGTTTTAATTTATTTTATTTTATTTTATTAATTTATTCATTTTACTTTGTTTTAGTTTATTTTGTTTAAAATTATTTTATTTGATATTATTATATTTTATTTCATTTCATTTTATTTTATTATATTTGTCTGATTCTTTTTTTTTTTATTATATTTTATTGGAGTCAGTACATCGAGTGCTGGGAAAGCCTTCCGCAGCCACCAAAATTAATATCTTTGCACCCAACAGTAGGGAGCAAGTAAGAGCATATGTAACCTTGCCGAACGAAGAAGCCGATAAGTTAATGAAACAGGCTCGTATTAAAATTGGTTAGATAAACTGTTAGCTACAGCTTAAAGAAAGTACGAAGAGATGCTTCCGCTGCCTCGGGCCCGAGCATTCAACCTGGACCTGGCAGAAAGGAGCAAGGATTATGCCTAAAGTGTGGCAAAGCAGGACTGTATAGAGGACGCCGCTCGAGAGACAGAAGGACAAATGATAATCGCGGGATATTTTAGCTCTAAAGCACTTAAATGGGGTATGCAGAGCACCAACTCCAGAGGTAAATGGATTCTAGAGACCGCTGCACGACTGGACTTTGTAGTACTCAACACCGGAATAGCAATGACTTTCAGACGACCAGGATGCGAAGAAACAACATTCGACATAACATTGTCATCGGAGCGCTTAGCAGGCACAGTAATACGCTGAAAAGTCCCGGAAGACTATACTGGCAGTGATCACCAGTACATTACCTTCACAACAGAATCTCGAGCCCGACCTGCTCAAAATTGTACACGTAGCTCTCTCAGCAAATGAAACGCTTCAAAGCTAAACACTAGCCTACTACTAGCCGTAATTGACAAACAAATCGTCCTAGAGACCAACTCGGAAAACGCAAGGAGAATAGTGGAAGAAAAAATGTTCATAATAACTCGAGCGTGTAATAACGATATGCCGAAAGCCACGAATAGGAGGCAAAAACGAGCTGGGTACTGGTGGACTGAGAGCATAGCGCAACTAAGGAAACGTGTCTTGCCCTTCGGCGGGCTTATACAAGGAACAGACGAAAAGGCAACGCATCTACAGAAAAGTAATGAAAAAGCTCGACACCAGGACACCACTCCCAGAATTTTCCGGACATAAAATGGGTCAGATTGTTAAGACCTTATTTCCAGCACATGAAATACGGGGAAAACAAGAAGTATTGGAGAATCTTCCTATAGAAACACCTTGTTTCACTACCGAAGAGCTACAGATAGCGCCAAGTAAGCTCAAGCCAAACAAATCCCCAGGCCCCGATGGCATACCCGCCGAAGTACTGAAAGTAATTGCCCTAAAACGACCTAACTTACTTCTTAATATGCTTAATGCCCGCCCCTGAAAAAAAACCTATTGCCAGAAATCTGGAAAAGACAGTAGCTTGTGCTCATTAGTACGGGGAAAGGGAACCCAGATAGCCCATCAGCATACCGCCCTCTCTGCATGCCGGCACTGCTGGAAAGCTTCTTGAAAGACTGCTGGAACTGAGACTGCAAGCAGCTATTGCTAGTGGTGGGGGCTCTTAAAAAACGGTTTCATGCCCGGTAGATCAGCACTGGGATCAATCGAGAATGTAGTAAAAAGTGTTGAAAAGGCTCAGCACGCGTGTCAAAAGCAAATATTGCTAACAGCCACATTGGACGTTCGGAATGCCTTCAACAGTGCGCAGTGGAAGGA